TAAACCACCAACACGTCATTCAAAATACTCACTATCTGAAATCAACCTTATCCACTACCAAAAAGGGTCTAGATTGATATTTATTTGTTACTCACGCTATCCCGTTACATTCAAGGTCCGTAGCGCGTGTCAAATCACGTAGACCTGCCGTTTGTATAGGTCTATGTTAGATAAGAGGTCAGGGTAAATTTGTTATGTACGCCCTATACCTTTAGTAACCTTGGTAGGGGACGTTGAACTTTTAAAATGTAATAAGCATCAAATGAAATGAGATTTTGGGTTCCGTATGTTATGAAATCGCTGCGGTGTTCAATTATAGTATAGCGGCTTATATTATCTTATATTATTATTTGTAAGGAAAAGTCATTTACGAGACTGCAAGTTCGTTATTTGGAACGCAAAAATAAGAGTTTTTATTCAGTTATACCTAGAAATTATCTATATCTATATCTATACTAATATTATAAAGAGGAAAGATTTGTTTGTTTGTTTGTTTCGAATAGGCTCCGAAACTACTGGACCGATTTGAAAAATTCTTTTTTCATTAGAAGCCGACATTGTCCCTAATGAACATAGGCTACCTTTTTTTAAATTTTTTTTAATTTTTTTTGTTTGTTTCATGTGTGTTTTAATGTTTCCGAAGCGAAGCGAGGGCGGGTCGCTAGTTTAATATAATTTGACTAAGGACTAAAATAATAAACTAAACAAACATTTATTTATTTATTTATGCCTAAAAACACAGTGGCGTATTTAAGGCCTAAGGTATTCTCTACCAGTCAACTAAGGGTAGTGTAGAGTCATGTGGTAGTTGCATTCTCTTTTGAGAAATGAGAAAAAAAAAATTTATACATCTATACAAACAAACGCACAGAATACATACATAAACCATACATAGACATAACATACAACACCGTACATAATTATTATGTCATAATAAAGTTATTACTATTGTATATACATTTACATACAACATAAAAATATAGCAAACACATTTATTAGATACGAAAAAAATAAGTAATTGTAAAAATATAGTATATTACACAGAAAAATACCGACACACGTCTAATATTGAAGTGTTACTGCCTATTCGTTCAGAAAATTTTGAAAGCTAGGCGATCAGTGATCATCCTGACATTAAGAAGAAGTGAATTCCAAAGTCGAACAGATTGAACTAAGCAAGACGTACGGACCAGACTAGAGCTATGCGTGGGACATTGGAGGAGTAAATTATAATTAGAAGAACGCAGGTCCTTATCGTGCGAAGAATGTAAATATTTAAAGTAGTTAGTCAAATAGAAGGGAGGAGTTGGGCATGTCAGTATAGAGTGAAGTGTAGTGAGAGCATGTAGATTGCGACGCTCACATAAAGGAAGACTTTTTTTTTGGTAGCGGTAAGTAGACATGTGGTCATAGTTGCGAAGATTAAAAATAAATCAAGCGCCATTGTTGAGAAGGCGGTCGAGTTTATTCCAAAGGTCTGTGTTCAGATCAAGGGCGCCATAGTCAATTATAGGAAGGATTAAAGTTTGAACAAGCCTCGTCTTTATCCTGAAACGGAAACAGTTATTTAAGCGAAAAGGACACACAGAGATCCAGTAACCTACGACTAACGTTGAACGCTTGTGCCCTTTAATCAAGTGTCTAATCCATATACAGTCCAAGGTTTTTGACTGATAGGCTCAGAAGTATAATTGCTCCATTATAGGTTACGGTTGGGAGTGTAATAAAATCTATTCGTCCCAGCAAATGGAGACTACCAATAATAATCGACTGACATTTTTTTTGGTATCACAATCGAACCAAACTTACTGCACCAAAGCGCCTACACCCTCTAAATTCTCAATTACTCTGCGAACCACTACAGTCACACATACCATAGTAGCCTACGAATACAGCTGTACATCATTAACGTACAGATGATACGAGCACTGAAGGGAACTGAGTTATGAGATTGATAAAAATAGAGAAAAGGAAAAGGGGAGAGAATACCGTCTTGATGGATCCCAGTATCCAGATGACGCCATGAAGACAAATACTTATCAATGCGAACCGATTGCTAGCCTCTCGGAGATATGAAGTAAACTATTTGAGCATCTCAGGTGATATCGTGAGATTGGAAAGGATAGATAAAAGTATTTCGTGACTAAGGGTATTGAAGGCATTAAGGAAATCCATCAAAGCCAACAGTGTGACTCTAGTATCCTCCATCCCGGCACTAACGTCGCCAGTCACTTTGAGGAGACCGGAGATGGTGCTAAGGCTCAGTCGGAATCCCGGTTGAAGGGAGCTTATTAAATGGATTAAAACATGCATTAAATAATAATATGACCGAAATATCAATTGAATTGGTAAAATATCGAGTAATAGCTTATGAAATGATACAGTGTATTTTGAGCAATGGGGTACAATGGTCCAGTCTGTTAGTCTATTTCAACTTCAAAGTAAATGAACAATTTGACCTTCAGTAATCAAGCTTCAATGTGAAAACTCAGGTATGTTGAAATACGATTCAAATTTGTGTGAAATAATATCATCCTGGATGAAGAACTATTTTAAAGAAATATATGTATAATAGTTTAAAAACTTAAAAAACCAGCTCAATAGCGAACCGAACTAATAAAGTAATTTCACCTTTTTGGAGTTTACTCCTTTAGAATCGATTTACATATATAGGCCCGGGGTATGAAAATTATGGGGACCAAAATCGTACTAGCATGTCACGCGAAATGCGTTATGCGCCTGATTGGCTCCTGATTGCGTGATGCGTGCGCGCGCCAATCAGGAGCCAACGCGCGGCCGCGTTATCGCAGGTGACGCCGGGCTGCTGCGCCGGCAGTCCGCCACAAAGCCTCGTACTGATCGCGCGTTTCTCTCATTATTGTATTTTCATATATTTGTTAGTCGTTTGTTTTGTGTCTCGTTAATTTGTTAATAATCTGTAGTGTATCGTGTTGTCGTAATATAGAACTATTTCTCGTATTGTTTCGTTTAATTTTTTATATCCAGTAAACTCCAGTCGTGCGTCGGAGCGGACACACACACTTTTTTTTTTTTTAATCCTGCTAACACTGGTCAAAATATTAGAGCAAAGTTACAGAATCATTAGCTGTTTTCATCTAGATGCGTGTACAAAGTTTTTAAGTTAAATTCTCAAAAATTGTCGTTCAAAAATAGGGTTGCGTTACATACACACAATACAAAGCTAATAAAAACATATTAAAAACCAATCATTTTTCTCATCTAATGTACGAAGACAGATGAAGATTCAATAACGTTACTTATTTGATAATATAATACACTTATTTAATTCAATAGTAAAAAGAAACTAGTCTAAGCGATTTTCTTAACTCACATCAATAAAAAAAAGCAAAAATACATATAATATTCGAACGGCGAACATTTTATGTCTAAATTAGAGTACTTAATAAATTTATAAAATGTATAATAATATATTCATGTTAACTGCAACCTTGTTAACATTTTTGAATAGCATTGATCCCTAATTTTTACTGGCAAACTTTTTTCTCACTTTCATAATCTTACAACACTCACAAAAGTTATGTTCGAGCCAGTTTTGTACCTTTACAGGGTAAAGAATTTTTGTATGGCTCGGCTTATGGAGGGAACCTTTTAATTAATTCCTTTTCGTAAGAGTATATCGGGCGTTGACAAAACATTCTATTTATTATTACAAAATATTCTACTTGACAACCGATTTGCTGTATTTTTTGTGCTAATTTTAGTGCTTTATATAAAAATTTGGAGAAAAGTTTTTTCTACCATTTGTAAAAAAATAATAACAATATAATCGATAAAAAATATAAGAGAAAATGTATCTTGGGTTGTTAGTGATTATAGTCGAATTTCAAACTGAGTGAATACTGGTTTATTTTATATGAGTATGACTATACCTCTTTCTCCTTCTACTATTCCATTATTTATTAAGAGCCCTTCTCGTGTATCCTGAACGAGCTGACGGGCCACCTGAGCAATTCCCACCCCTCTTGGCTGATTTTGTCTCCTCCTCCTCCTCGAGTCGTGTTCCTCATGTCTGAGGGTCGTGACCACCATCACCCATGAGCTTCAATCTTAGGATTTTTTTCCACTTTCCCCTGTCCACGGCGTCATGCAGCGCGCTGTACACTGTACTGTCCAAAGCGGTGCGGATCTGATCGGACCAACGAGTATGACTGCGGCCTCTAGATCTGTTGCCTTCAACTTTCCCTGTGATCATAAGTTTTTCCAGGTTATCGCCGTCTTTCCTCGCAATGTGACCAAAATATTCGAGGATCCGCTTCAGACATACAGTAGACAGTCTGATTTTGATGTCCAGTTGCTTCAATATCGACACGTTAGTCCGGAAGGCTGTCCACGGAATTCTTAGCATGCGTCTCCAACACCACATTTCGAAAGCATCGATGCGCATTCGGTCTGCTGCTTTCAACGTCCATGTCTCAGCTCCATACAAGAAGATTTTGTCTCACTCACCTGTTATTCTGGTGAAACTGGAAAGGCCTCCGGGCCACAAGTAATCCTTCCGTCCTAAAAATAATAATAATATAAATGAATGAGTTGTTTACGCCAGTACTTTGCGACGGAAACAAGCAGTGCATGGTTGTATGAGCCTATACATACACCACCGCCAGACAGATTAAAACTAAATCTATATACTTATAATATAATTGAAAATCACGCAAAGAGAAGAATGCAAGGATAGAGGGTATTTTAAATAAAATAGCCTTAAACGGTTCGGACGTTAGTATGAACATTACTAGAATCTTCTAAAACATTAACTCTTCCCGATTTTTTGATTAATGCGCACACATAAATACTCGATCTACGAATAAGCCTTGCCGAATACTATTTAAAAGTTTATACATGTAATTTATCTTTCTATGTATATTCAGCAGTACTCGTAATTGCTGTAAAATACATCGTTAATTAAACTAAACAAAAATATAATGCTACATCTAAATTCACCTAACTTCAATTTGTTACAGACATGCTACGAAATGGAAAGATACCTGCGCGAGGAACCCAGGGCGTTGAAGAGGCGCGACGCCCAGGACGAAGACTGGGCTAGGACTCAAACTAAAGCGGGATCGCCAGCCTCGCCTGCGCCCGCAACGCCGGCTTTAGCGCCCACTCCGCAGTCCCCGCCGACTCCGCCCTCGCTGTCGACGCTGCCACAGCTGACGGCGCCTCCATCGCTGCCGGTGCTGGTGTCTCCGCCCACGCCACCCGCGTCGCCGACTCTCGCGCTTATTCCAGCACCACGTCTCTTCACCGTGACTGTTGTAAAGGCGGAGCTAACGCGCGATCCGGAGGAGCCTCGAGTTACTCCAGTTGCTAAAGGTAACTGCTAATATTCTACCCATTGATAACCCATAGTATCAACTAGTCGAGTGCTTTCATTATTAAATGTTTTGGTACGATAGATAGAAGAGGTCACGGTGTTAAGTTGTCACTGAAGCCCACAGACATTAACCACGTCAATACCCCCAATACCCATCCCGAAACATGAGTTATAAGTTTCAGTTATAACAGTACAACCGCTGCCCCACATTTTAAGGTGAAACACTATTGCTGCTTCACGCTAGAAATAGGCAGGGTATAGGTATCTACCCGTACAGGCTCACAAGATACCACCAGTGAGAATCCAACGGCCGTCTGGTGTAGTGGTAAGTGACATGGTCACTACACAAGGGGGTTGCGGGTTCGAATCCCGCCAAGGGAAGATATTTGTATGATAAATATAAATGTCTTTTCCAGGGTTATGGATGTATATTAAATATTAAACATATGTATGTGTCTAATAAAAATCTTACATTTATATCCGTTATCTGGTACCTGTAACACAAGTTCTTTGCGAACTTATCACGGGACCAGTTAACGTGGCGTGATTGTTAGTAAATATTTATTTATTATTTTATTTTATTAATTAAAAATTATCCACTACCCATGTAGAATGGATTTGTGCTAATTGATCCTACTCGTCAACCAAGATCCTATCATTAACGGCAAGGCATGCTTCGAACCAGCTTACTACCACCGTCTTAACTAAGGGAACGTATATTGAAATATCTATAAGACGCCACAAAATGGACCGTATGCTAGTCTACCTTGAAAGGTAATAACAATAACTGTGGTCTAAATGCTAAACTGCTAACAGTCACTTTGAGACGCACGGTGGTGCACGCAGGGCTGGTGACCGTTTAACATTAGATGGGTCGTAAACTCGTTAGCGTATTAAAAATGCTAATTTCACGTTTCGTTAAAGATATTTTATATTTTTTACAAACGATAATTATTTAATTTGTTTAATATTTATGTAATTAAAGTTTAAACATACAAAGTCTAGTCATCAATACTGTTACACTACAAAATTTCATTCATTAGTCTGACCACATACACTATTATAAAACAAATATTACAATATATAAATAACAATATTACATTTTAATTTAGAACTTGTCTTTAGGACTTGTAAGTGTAACTTTCACCTGAATAGACATTGCTCAAAGTGATTAAAGCTTTGACAAAATACGTTCTGAACGCAAGTAGCTTTGTCATGATTGAATATTGTGCCATTTATTGTACGGTAGTGACATGTTGCAGTGGCTGCAGCTTATAAATGTATTGACCAATGTTCAATGTTATCACTCTCCAACAGTCAGTCACAACAATAGTGGGACAATTCCATTGATATTTAAACTGAAACCATCTAGCCTTTAAGAGTAATACAATGGTGGACAAAAAGTGAAATCCTGTGTGCGTTTTTTTTTTATTTTTTATTGTATTTATGGATAAACGAGCTCACTGTCCACCTGTTCGTAAGTGATTACCACAACCCATAGACATCTACCACATTACCGCGGTAGGCAGCGGCTTGGCGCGGTAGGCAGCGGCTATTGCGGTAGGCAGCGGCTTGGCTCTGCCCCTGGCATTACTGAAGTCCATGGGCGACGGTAACCACTCACCATCAGGTGGGCCGTATGGTCGTCTGCCTACAAAGGCAATAAAAAAAAAAATGCCGCCACCCACCTTGAGATATTAGTTCTAAGGTCTCAGTATAGTCACAACGGCATCCCCGCCCTTCAAACCGAAGCGGCTTCACAGCAGAAATAGGCGAGGTGGTTGTACCAACCCATGCAGACTCACAAGAGCTCTTACCACGAGTAAAAGCGTATTGATATTTGTTTATTTGCAAATTAAGATTTTGATTTAATTACTTAATATCTGTAAATGGGCGAACCTCGATGGAGTAGTCCATCTGTAGTTAAATGGTTATTATATTATAGATTATAATGTAAATGTCATCATTGTGAAGATTCCAGAAGTTTCAATTTGGTAATCCGCCCTCCGACCCTATTATTAGAGTATACTCCTTAGGAATTGATTCCACTAAAAAACCGGTATACCACGGTTTGATGGGCATTAAATCGAGCACTCCTAAATAAAAAAACGCTTTATTTTTGTTCAAGCTGAATAATTTACTTTAACGTAAATATTAACTGTATCGTATTCACCTGAATGTTAAGTAGATGTCTGTCTACTTATTTATATTCTGGTACAAATTTAATACAATGTGGTTAACGCGTTGGAGTGTTTTAATACATAATTAAGCAGTGTTAAACAATTTCAGAGCCATTTTTTTTTAACAAATTTAAATTATTTGAGATACCAAATAACTTAGTGTAGTAAAAAGATACGTACCTCATAATAAAAGGCAGTGGATTTAGTATTTATGAATAATAACTTATGGAATAAATAAAAATAAAGCTATATACATGGTTTTCCTTATTTTATGAAATGCGTTTATTAAACCCGTTTTGTCTGTTGTGTGTTCAATGACAATCGCAATTAAGGAATGAACTGCAGTCGCGTCTCAGAACCGACACAAAGTTTTCAAAGTGAAACTTCTTTAGGAGCGTTGAGAGTAAAATTTAACTCGCGACAGATTCGTTATGGCTAGAGACAAAAGATACAATTTAGGAGGAGCAAGAGTGAGAAAATAGGCAGAGAGTCTCAAAAACCATTCGGCCGTGGAGAGAGGGAAAGGACAAAGCGAGCTAGGTTCTTATTTAACGATATCTGTTAGATTTCATTAAAATTACTACATTGCAAGGCAAACGGTGTGAAGCTTAGTCTTAGCTTGGCTTTTACAGCTTATCACAAAAATAAAAATCTTACGTTACGGACGCTTTTTCCCGGTCGGGGTACCCCTCCACACCATCCCATAAGGAACTTCGTTCCAAAAAATGAAGAAAACCACAATACTACACAAAGAAGTTTCACTTCTTTCACGTGCACCAAGCAGCACGCACACCAGCTTTTTCCTCTAGTTATTCGGTATGGTATAGTTTCGATAATGCGAATTTTGGTTTTGTAGTCGAGGTGCCGATGAAAGTTCCGATGCCGCCGATGGCCGCCCCGGTCCGGCGGGCGCACGCGCCGCGTCTGCCACACCCGCACGCGGCCGACCCGCGCCGCCGCATCCACCGCTGCGAGTTCCCTTCCTGCGACAAAGTGTACACGAAGAGCTCGCACCTGAAGGCGCACAAGCGCACTCACACCGGTACGTGATCACGCACACTCGTTTTTCGCTATCCCGTGAATTAATTTGGAATTGTAAAGGAAAATAAAATTCATGATGTCTCGGAATTCACATCTTCAAATGTAAAATCACGGCCCTCCTGGTGTTAAGTGGCTACCGGAGCCCATAGACATCTATAACGTAAATACCGCCACCCACCTTGAGATATAAGTTCTAAAGTCTCAGTATAGTTAGAACTGCTGCCCCACCCTTTAAACCGCAACGCTTTACTGCTTCACGGCAGAAATGGGGAGGGTGGTGGTACTACCCGTGCGGACTCACAAGAGGTCCTACCACCAGTCAAATGTAAACTTTTTCGAATTTTAGCCCTTCTGAATGAAGTTCTTACGTTGTGCATAATCCTTTACTCGGTGTATTTTTATAGGTAAATCTAGCTTAGTTGCTGTATATATTACACCACTAGCTATACCCATCCGTTTCGCTGGGCATTTAATTAACATTATTATTTCTCACCCACAAAGATTCTCATAATTAACGCCCCCACAACTGGTGTAGGGACTTCAATACTTATATTAGCCTATCCATTAAGTACGTGTATTTTCTACATGGATACCAAGTCATTCGGATGAATGGTTCAGTAGTTATAACGGAACATCCGTAAGAACCACTGTAGAATTATGTATTAGTATAGGTAAATTATATTTTCTTAAGTTAGGACGCGCACAGGCTAAGCCTGAGATCGCGACGAACGTAATTAAGTTCGTAAACCGTTCCAGGTGAGAAGCCGTACAAATGCTCGTGGGAGGGATGCGAGTGGCGTTTCGCGCGCTCGGACGAGCTCACCCGCCACTACCGCAAGCACACCGGGGCGAAGCCCTTCCGCTGCCGGCACTGCGACCGGTGCTTCTCGCGCTCCGACCACCTGGCGCTCCACGCCAAGCGCCACGCGTAGACAGCCCGCGCGAGGCTGCTCCCGCCGCCCGCCACCGCCACAACCGACGCCCCCACTGTAAGCGATTTGTTAGCACGTCGTCTTGAGTCGCTATCCACGCGTACGGATTGTGGACGCACTCGACCAGCGGAGGGGCGGGCCCGCGGATCGCTGCAAGCCAAAGATACCGCCGCATGTAGCGCGGACGAGTCCACACTCATCGCACCCGATGCTTTAAACTTATTTTTTATTTAGTTAGTTATCGTGAGCTGAGAATGTAATTTGGGAAATCTCTTTATTTGAATGTTTCGGCACTGGCCTCTTTTGTCGTTACTTTTGTTGCGTTAAGAGAACTTTTATATTTGCCGTTGTTTATTGTGTAATGTTTTTTGTAAGCTTCGCGTAGGGATGTTTGTTTGCGACGCGCGTCGCATGGCTGCGCGCGTCCTTGTTGTGCCATCGCCGGTCTCCCGCCGGTCTGCATTTCGGATCACCCGACATATGACATTATTTATTGGTTCGCGGGATACAGGCACGTTCCCACCGACGCGGACGAGCTCGGCACATTATTAGCGTTTAGTAGGAAGTGCGTCGTTACCTGACGCGTCGATGCCGCGTATCAGTTATCCCGCGGCGACAGCGCTATGTACCATCTTATGAAAATCGTGTTATTTTGTCAATAACCTTATGTACTGCGCCGTACGGTTCTCGTTGTGAATTAGAATGTGCTCATGTGTTCACGGAATGACTGATACATGGCATCGACGTTATTATTTGTGTATTCGTTTATTAGCTTAGTATATAGCACGTTACCTTGTATTGATCGGAATCGGCCAGTTATACGTCTCGCTGATTCAGTTATCAGCCGAAAATTATTCGACATATTATTATTATATTTAAGCTTTCTCTTTACTCTTTCATTCCGTTATATGATGCAGTATATATTTAAATATTTAGATCTAATGCGTAATGTATTGTGACTTTATTGTTTATAATGGTGTCTAAACAAGAGGATCGAAAATTTTGTATCTTACGCGACATTCGAGTCGCTCTTTGTAAAATGAGGAGACACCTCTATGATGATTCTGTTGTGTCGTCTAAAATGTCAGCTTGGTCAAACATCATTTTGACATACCGCTAGTGACGTCGTTAACACAGCCGTAGTTTTTATTTATTTTAAATAAATATAATGTACTCTGTCATATTTAATTCGCAAATTACAAGTAGATACAGCGTTAGATTATTACCAGCCTTTTATTAGTATTTAGAGAATTGCTTTTATCGTCGCCTATGATAGGTTTATGAAATTATGTAATAAAAAAATTGGGACACCCTAATATTATTATGGCCAATGAATAGCCAAGTTTTTTGATGAAAAAAAAAATCTTTTAAATAAAACTTTTAATGCATGCATTTTAATGTTACGAATACTTTAGTGACGCGCGTGAATGGTGGTGTATTTCATTCTCTTTCTCCATTAAAAATTTACGATTTGGATGAATGAAATCAAATTTTGTTTTGAGATTGTACTGACTGACATCCCAGTCGACCTAGTGCTTTGACGGGTCACGTGAAATGTGTCAAATATTTGAATAAAGTATTTTATTGTAATAATATATAATAATAATGTATTTAGAATTTAATCACATTTTATCATTAAAATTAATTAAATTGTATAATCAAATATATAAATTATTATTCGTAAAAGAGAATTTAAAAACTCAAGTCCGTTACAATCGAATCGTATGCACTGGATCAAATATACATCAGAACCCGTTCGTACATTTGTCTTAATGAAATTACTCATTATCAAAATAATATTTATCAAAAAAGCTGATGTGAACTCAAAATAAAAAAAAAACGATTATTTCCACTTACTAATATAAATATTTATATATAATAACCTAACAATAAACATAGAACAACGACTGCTTGTTAGAACTGCCATATTAAAATTAAAGTATAATTATTATCTGTAGTATTCCATTTTATAAAAGAATATTTTACATTTTGGCGATAAAATATGTTAAAAAAATAATAAAAGAACTCTTAAATAAAACACAATTCCATTCAGAAACAAAATTAACTTCAAATGCCCCTTGAAAACAATTATTATTATAACTAAGGTTTTAAATTTCGCTTTTATTAACAGGGACGTGTCAAATACTTTTTAAAGTTTTCGCAGTTTCTGTATAACTTATTAAAAACAAAATAAATAATTGAATTCCTTAAAAAACGATTTCTGAAAACGAAAAACCCATGGACTATTTCGAAATCTCTTTAAATAATTCTTACGCTAAACGAGTATTCAAAGAATGTTGATAACAACTTCATTCTGTTGGCATAGCCGCCTTTCAATCAGAAAGTTGTAAAGTCTAGACTCTATGCGGACTGCAACTAAAATTATCAGTTTACCTGAAGGCTAACTGGGAATTTCCACGTACGCTAATGGTTTGACGTCCGCTAACAATGTATTTACATAGTCGGTGTGGGTGAAAGGTGAGCTCTTACTTATCGCCTTTCAGCACGAACTTACAAAGCGGCGTGGCGGCAAATTCAATAAACATTCTGCAATGAATCATATTTGAAACATTCTAATAATATACTCTTAAAATTTTTCTTCATAATGATTAAATTCTAATCTAGTGTTCATATTAAATGTTAGTTATGTGTCTATTTATCTCTTATCGTATTTAGAATAAATATTTACCAATATGTAATCGTAATAGCTTAGAAAAATATATGAATATAGGAAATTTTTTGGATATCGCGTACGACAAAATAAACATGCAACTCGTAAAATTATTACGCATTTCCTAACCGTATCCTTTGAAGAACAATAATCGCCTAATATCAGTGCTCAATTACGTTTTATATTTATACAAATCAATGGTGCAGTTTTACGAACGACTTTTCTTAGTCCATTGCGATGTCTATATACACATTCGATTTATACAAAACATAACCGGACCCTGAGATGTGCTATCTCTGCATCTGAATAAGTCCTTCTGAAATCTTAAAGAAACTATAAGTACACACTTGCGTTGGCAAATGAGGTTAACAGTGCGCTACAATATATTATGCCATTTACTCTATAACAACCATTTATACCTATCACCGCGTTAGTTGCAAGGCTCATGACCCTGACTACTATACCAGGACAATCTGGTTCGTTCTCCTCTTGGTGTATATTTCCGTGTGAGATATTAGGTGAGGTCTGGATGCTTGTTCTTGTCTCGAGTTTATTATCCTTAAAACAGGACAGAATCCTGGACTTGGAACTCCGGAAAACATATTGATTTATAAAGTCGTAAATGTATGGTTATATAAACTAATTGTAAAACTCGTAACATCCCTATTGGATCACCAAACCTGCGGTATTTGTTAAAACGCGAATAATTACAGTTTTACGCTTCATCACACCGAATACACACAAGGACTCTTGTTGCGGTCAATGAGCGCCCGTGATGTCGGACTAATTCTCATTCCGCTGAACTTTGCGTTCCGCCGAAAATGATTTTGACGATAAACAAACGTGTTATTTCAATAATTAATACGGCTTGCTTGCGAAATCTATTTAAAGTAAGTGCGTTCTGACTCAGCCGCGTTGTTTGAATAACATTGTATGCAATAACAAAACAATATTGAATTCTTGAGTGCATTAGGTACATTTGTAATCGTAAATCGATGTATGGTTTTAAATAAAACAAATTCTATCGGCAAATATGAAATCGGGTTCAATACATAACATACAGCTTACTGTCCTAATGTGGAAAATTCGAAGAACTTATTTGTATATTAAAATGACAAGGTAGCTGTTTATTATTTTAAAAAAAACCGAACAAAATACAAACAAGTACTAAAAAGTACAACTTATGGTTCTGAGCCTAAAAAAGTAAATGAAAGTACTTGTCCAATATATGTGAGAATTAATTAATATCAAAACAAACTAAAGAACTTTACAAAAAAATCATTTGAATAAGAAAAGCGCCAATCAAACAGAAACGACACCATTGAATTCAGTTCGAATTTACTGTTAAGAACTTCGGAAATAGTTTCCCACTAACACCTCTTATTTAAATTACTCACAATTTGCTATAAATTTACATAAAATCGTGATTATAGTTATATAGATGTAATGCATGTCTAGTGTTCGTACGTGCTTCTGGATGTGTAATGTTGTGTAAAGTTGCACATGGCTAATGTATGCAGATAATATCGGTTCTAATGTATTCTGGACTGCTCTTGCGTCGTCAATAAAACTTTGGACGTTAAATTTCAGTCTCCGCCTTTGTCAGTTCACGGATGACCAATTTGCAATTAGTTTTGTTCTGGGTCTAGTGTTGCAGTTAAAATGACAGTGTAGTAAACTTTGCTTGGTACATCTAAAGAAAGCGCCGTGGTTTCGAGAATTCCTACGCCGGAAAACGATCGCGAAGTGGAATGGTTTGATAGATATTACCGGTGGTAGGACCTCTTGTGAGTCCGCGCGGGTAGGCACCACCACCCCGCCTATTTCTGCCGTGAAGCAGTAATGCGTTTCGGTTTGAAGGGCGGGGTAGCCGTTGTAACTATACTTGATACCGTAGAACTTGTATCTCAAGGTGGGTGGCGCATATACGTTGTAGATGTATATGTGCTCCAGTAACCACTTAAGTCAGGTGGGCTGTGAGCTCGTCCACCAATCTAAGCAATAAAAAGATATGATAACTAGTTCGTTTTGAACAAATATTTTGTCGCATCTAATCACTCGCTGCAAATCTCAGGAAACAAAGTTACGACTCTGTCATTTCAACTTCAAATATTTGACAAGCTACGGAAAAATCGAGCAGTGTGAATTGAATTATTGCATTTTAAATAACAATCTTAATAAAGGAAAATAATGCGGCTGTGTGTTGAGAATATCTTAATGTGTGAGCCCGCCGAATTAGGAAGCACGTGTAACGCAATTTTTTTTTTTAATTTAGGTACGTACCTTATTTTAATTGCATTTAATTTTTACGATGATAATTTTTATATTTATTTTTTTATATTTTTTTACAATTTATTCCTTAAAGCTAATTGTTTATCTTCTCGGACGATTTTTACGTACATTCCAGTTGTGTGTAACTTAATTCGGTCGGTATTTCTATTGAGTGCATGAATAGGGTCGTGAAAACTGTGCAAATTGTTCAATATATTAATTTTATGAAATTATAAAGTTTATTATTTAATAAATTTTGTAAAAGTGTTTATGAAATATTTTTTAAATTTTTATTAAACTGTTATATCCTTTTGAAGATTTTGAATTAAAATATTATGTAAATGTGATATACAGTTAAAATGGAATTTAAAAAAACAAAAATGTTGTATGTTTAAAAGAAAAAAAAACACATTTAGAAAAGTTGAGGCTTGGAGTTAGCAGATGTTATTTAAACATTGGTCGTCATCACTGACAGTTACAAAGAAACAAACACACATTATTATGAATTTTGAAATGAATTTTCTCGAGAATCATGTAATATATAATAGGTACGTAATATTTAAATCACGACCCTTGGAATCAATGTTGGCGGATGTAACGTTTTGCGCCTGAGCGTCAACTCTTTGTTCATAATTTATTTTTATAAAATACAGTAAAATCTCCTTATTCGTTGAGTATATGTTCCGTAAATACTGCGCGAATACAGAAATCGTGAATATGGAAAAACGCGTTTATAAAGAATATTCGGTTGGATACCTACATATTGAAATCCTTTTTATCCATGTGTATGTACCGATATACTGATTAGTTCTGCGAACAAAGGCATCATTAGCCGCGAACATAGAAAATGGGTCGTATTTTTTTAATACGCGAATAGTGAAAACGCGAACGAAGGAAACGCGAATAAGGAGCTTGTATTGTATAAGAATATCTGTATTTTATACGTTGAATCTACGTGATCGTTTTATTATGAAATTTAATTTAGTTAACTTTTTAAATGTTTTTTGTATCGTCTTGAACTGACTGTCACTTTTCATGCGGAAAATCAAATCCGCATTTATTGTACGCATATTGCATTTTATATTAATAAAACTTTCTTATATGTGGTATTATTGTGTGTTTTATTTGTAATCGATTTGTCAATGAATAACAAATAATTACATTTTTTAAGGGATTTTATGACCTGGTTACTAAGACCTTTAAGTAATGTCTTATTTAAATTCATATTCTTATTTTTATGAAAAATGATAATATGGAGTGAAATGAAATGAATATGATTAATTTGAGACATTAATCAACTGGGATGAAATTAAATGAATGAGATGAGATGATTTTGGGTATACAATCTCAGTAATGAAAATGGGGGTCATTTACTGAGATTTTTTCAGTGGACTTTTTCGAAAATCCCGAGAAGTTACGTCCAGCGGCTTTGTTTCATTTTCCCTCATTTGTGCACTTTCACAGATATTAAGCAGTTAATAAATCACCTTTATTACACATTTAAACCTGAAGAAACACTAAATAGACAAAATAAAACAAATCACACAACTTCACTCTTCGCGTTCCTGCCAACAGGTCTATTACATTTTTCGATGATCGCCTGTCAATAGATAGCTTCGTGAATATTATGCACGTGTTTTATTGTTATATGTTTCGATTGTCCCACTTGGGAAGTCGAGCTGACGGCCTGTAGTTATAGGAGTCCGCGAACACCACAAAGGTCCATGTTGCCTTTGACCACCTTTGAGATAAAACGCTCAATTCTCAGTTGAATGGTCTGGCTTTTTTCTTATTGCTTTGTACGAAACAATAATATTTTCTAATAAAACTTCGAATAGCTGCTACTTCGGCGACCAAGCAGTGACAGATTCCAATATGAAGGACGTGATAACCAGATACCAAGCCGAATCCGTCGTGGCCTAAAGGATAAGACGTCCGGTGCATTCCTATGTTGTGATGCACCGGTGTTCGAATTCCGCCGGCAGGTACCAA